CCTTGTAGCAACTCCAGATGGTTCTTCTTAAAGCATTAAGATTAGAGGAATCATGGAGCTCTTTGATCATTCTAATTTCATACCCCCCTGGATCATGCAAGATGGTGAAGAGAATCTTACAAGCTCCATGCGTAAAGCACAGAATATGCAATTTGCTTCCAACAAGGACATCACAAGCTCTATAGCTAGGCTTCAAAGGAAGTGTTGTATGCATGCATTGTTGAAGTTGGAGGGTACAATTTGCAGAAAGAGTTCGCATTGCATGCAATGTTTATGTATTTACAGAAGCAGCCTGATGAGTACTGCTAAGTATGTTTTTGTTATTGCACATTGCCAATGTATTTGGGCTATGATTCCATGTATAAGCACTGCCAAGCCTGGCTGCGTGGCTTCATGATAAAGCACTGTTATCATTGAGTTGTGTATATATGTTAGCTCATTATGCAGCATTGTGAATAAAGCTCAAGCTGTTTGCAGGATGAAGCAGTGCATGTGCCTGTCATGTATAGCAAGTCTCAAATACTACTGAGCCTTTTATAGATCTCACATGAGGTGTGTAAACAACAGTTGCATCGCACATTTTTCTGATCCAAGGAATCAGTCTATATGGCTTTTGTGAGTTGCTTGCAATTGGAGCTGTTATGCTTTGAACATGTTGTTTGCAATGCAATTGAATGAAAGCTTTCAAGCTATGTGTGATGTGTGTAGATTGCAATCAATTCTGTGAAGCTATATGCTCAGTAGTTAGATTGAGTGCATTATGTTCAGCTTTGAATTGTGCACTTATTTGTTTGCTGTGTATGTTCCAATTGCTCTTGTCACTCTAAATTAGTTTCTCATGTGGTGACAGTCAGATGAGTTTGAATAATATGGTGTCAATGTTGAATGACATTTTGCAGCAAGAATATGCACATGCCACCAGCTATTGTATAGCTTCTCACCTTGGCCTCAGGTATTTACAATCACTATGTCACACATGTGTGGAACCCTGTCAGCATTGGTGGTTGAGTCAAGGTTTGTACATAAGTGTATCTGTGGTTCAGCCTCAGTACGCTTTCTTTGCACAAATAGATTGATTGGTCCATATTTCAAGTCAACTGTGAACATTTGCCCATGTACTCTTTCTGAGGACTTACATGTTTAATGATGAGGCAATGGGTCTTGTCAGCACTTAAAGCTAGTGGCAATAAGCCATCAGCTGCCATCATATATATTCATACAGCTTCAAGCTGCTGGGAAAGCTCATTAAGCTGCAGGGGGGACAGCTGCAAGCTATTGAACCTTAAAAGCACACCAGCTGTTCAAAGCTGCTACAAATCTACAAAATTGGTTCACATCCACACCTCATTTGTAATGCTAAATGTGCTGAAGCTGCAAATACACTTTCAACCACAATAACTATTATGCATATATGTGTAGTTTATATGTTGTCATATATTACATACCAAATCCAGTTAACAATATGCACAAAAAAGTAATATGGCTTATCTAGCAAGTTTATTCATTAACACTTTCACTATCCAGTGTTGATATCATAAGTGCTACAAGAAATCAGCTTTAGTATTAACAGATCAAGTAGCATGTACAAATTAAAACAAAAGCTGTTTTGAAATATCACACACTGCATATAATTAATTTAATAACAATATTCTATTCGATATATCCAAATGCATATGTTGTTGATACAAACACAATATTTAACAATGATAATGAATATATACGTATTTATTACCATTTAAGTATAGACATATAATAGATTTTGATATGTTTTTGTAATTATTAACAGTTCTATTTTATAAAATGTTTTTAAAAATATTAATGTACAATGTATATTAAACAAATATTATTAATACAAAATTAAATATATTTTCAATCAAGGAAAAAAAAGTAATTTCAAATTGAAATTACTTTTTGGTTTTTTGGGAAAGTAATTTCAAATTGAAATTACTTTTTGGTTTTTTGGAAAAGTAATTTCAAATTGAAATTACTTTTTGGTTTTTCGGAAAAGTAATTTCAAATTGAAATTACTTTGTGTGCATCTCCATGTGAGGTGATCTGGGCTGCAGCTGTTGATTGGGACAAATCATGGTTAAAAAAAAAAAGCATTTTCGCTGCTTTGATTAGCTTTGCTTTCTGTGTCAATTGTGCATAAGTGTAATGTATTGAATAGATTACACACCAAATATATGTTTTGCTTCTTGTGTTTTGGCTCATATAGCAACATGTTGTGCACTGTGCACTTGGCTTCACCAACACACTTGCATAGCTTTACACTTACTTATGACACTCATACATGCACCAGCATACTTGTATATAATTGCATTTACTTGCAACACTCATACATGTACCAGCATACTTGTGTAGAGCATACTGAAATATTCATATACATTTAGATTACTTTCAATGAATACACACAAACACATTATGGATTCAATTCTCTGTATCTATACACAATATCTTTGCCACAATGGAAGAGCCAACTGAAACTCCTCCAGCCATGGCTGCTCCTGCTATTCCTTTGGGTTGTGAGATCTGGAATGCACGCTTTTGTGAAGCTATTGCTAATTGCATCTGTATTGTCAGAAATGCAGCCCAACCTATTGAAACTGATGAAGAGAGCCTATGCAGTTTAGTATGTATTGTTTGTTTTGGTTATGATATCAGCTTATCTATTATATATTCCATTGGTTGATATAGTTAGTTTGTATCCCTTGCTATATTTGTTTTGTACCCCTCAGTAAGGAAATATATTGATCGACTATGCGACATGCGTTTCTGGAAGACCCCATTTGAACAAGACCAAGAGACTGTTTGGAAGGGCAGTGACCCTGAATGTGGCAGCCACTACATTGTTTACTCAACAGTGCATTCCAAATGGTTGGTCATGGACAGTAAGGGCAATGTCATCGCTCACATCCTGTCAAAACTATGTCAATGGGGTGAAGACATTATTGTGATGCCATTGGGGGACTTGTTTTACCCAGCATGGGATGTAAATGAGCAGCAGAAGCACAAGATGTCTGTGATGAACCCTGCCAAATTGCAACTCAAAAGGAAAGTTGAGGTTGAAAAGGTTGAACCACCTTTGGTGCCACAAAAGGCAAAGGCAGTCCCAGCAGTTGTTCCACCTCCAGCAAAAGCGCCTCCAGCTAAAGCTCCTCCAGTTGATCCATCCTTGTCTGGAAAACCTGTCCATGGCAGTGTGTGGCGAGAGGTCTATGGACAGAAGAGGCCTGCTGTGCCAGTCCATGAAGGAGAAGGATCTAGCAGTTCAGGACAAGCTGCCAGTGCTGAAGGTGTTGTTCCACCTGTGCCTGGCCCTCCTGTTAAGAGGGCCAGGCACGGTGGGTTTGAGAAATGTGGAGAACTTATCATATACTACAAGAAAAGGAATTGGAACAAATGCGGTCAGCTTATTCAGCAGTATTATGTCTGCATGTTGTACAAGTTTTTCATTAGCTTTGTCTTTTCAAGCTTTTGCAAGCTTTCATGAGCTGGTATGCTTTTGCATAGCTATCATGCTTCTATAAGCTGTCATGCTTCTTATGTAGCTACCAAGCTTTGTACAAGCTTTTACAGGCTGTGCATTGGTATCTATGGAAGAATGCTTTGCATTGCAAATAGCCAAGGTATTTGGGCTATGATTCCATGTGGAGGCACTGCCAAGCCTGGCTATGAAGCATGCTGCTGGAGTGAGGTGGCTGGTAAATATATATATATGTAGAATATGTAGACTATCTATATTGGTTTCAACTTTATTATCTGTGATTGACATGTATGTATATTCTATTTATATAGATATGATATGCTGCTATCTATGCGAAAATGAAAGATATGCATATTGTCATATATGAGATTCACTGCATGTAGATATAACCTGAAGAGCTTTCTGTGTAGCATTCTTGTGTGGCATTCTCTTAAGGAGAGCTTGAATTCAAAAAGGAGTGCTTTGTGAGTGCTTTGCATGAGTGCTTTGTCACATGTACTATATGAATTAGTCAATGCACATTTGCATACTTTGGGATTGAATGATCACTCTAAACAACAGCAATACCTGTGCATCCAATAACCATATTGTAGACATGTTGCAGTTGGTGTGCTTTCCACATTCAATCCCTGAGCAAGGCCTATGGATATAGCTCTTGGAGCTGCTGCCACATATGAGAGGTGAAAAAGAGCGATGTGCTATAAGATGAGCTATAGCAAACATGTGGCAAGATTCATATATACAAACATGTTTTTACACGCTTATGTGTTGGTAGCTAGAGTTTAGCTGACTTTGAAGCTTCAAGCTTTCAGTTCATAGTGCAGCTATTGGGTTCTTGCAAGCTTTCAAGCTGATTGCTGATTTGTGCTGGTGCAATGGAAGCCCTAGCCAGAGATCTGAACCTGCTTCCTATGGTGGGTATGCTTAATGTGAGCAACATTGCCATGGACCACTGGGCTGAGAATGACCCTGTCACTCACAAGTGGATGTATGTGTGGTATGAGACAGATGGGAGGCAAACCCTTTGGGTTGTGAGGGTGCGCAGAGGTGGCTATCGCATTTGGAACCTTGCTATGTTAAGAATACTGTTGTTGTGTTTATGAGGCCCATATGTATATATTTACCAGGTGGTCTATATATTGTTGATGTGTCACTGGGAGCTTTCCATATTCTGTGCTCCATCCAAGGACAGAAGCAGATGCCTTTCTGATGCAAACTGCTGTGCTGTGGAACTTAACACTTCCACAAATGAATAGTTTGATTGATTTGGTGTACAGCTTGTGGCAAGTAGAAAGGCCTTAGGATCATGGAGCTTTCTGCCATGTCAAAAAAGGAATATGTATATGCGAGCAGTTCAAGCTGTTAGAGCATTTAAGCTTAACAGTGGTAGATTAGCAACCCTTGCTGTGAGAGATGTGTCTATATATGTCTTGTATATTCTTTCAGAATGCAGCACACAACAGCTTCAAGGTTCAAGAGTTACATTTGGATCAATTTGTGTCTTTGTGCAAAGATGTGGACTGCCAGTGATTTGGTGGTTGAGATTGGGTCCATTGCTAGCCTCCTAGAGACTAGGCTGAAGGCTTTCAGTGCTGGGAGCCAAAAAGGGAAGGAGTTTGAGGATGGAATCATCAAGAACTTTTGCAACAAGGTCAAAAGCTTGCCAAGTTTGACCATGGCTGATGCAACACAGCTGTATGATGCTGCCAGTTCATCATGTTTGTCAAATGATCAGCAAAGAGCTGTCAATGAGTGTGTTGATGAGAAGTTGAGTAACCCATCCTCAGCTTCTCATCCATCACCAAGTGGCCCTGTGACACCCCAATTGGTCGAGCACTTGTGGAACTTTTTGACCATTGCTGAATGGGAACAGGTGAAAGACAAAAACCTTTGTTTGGTTGCAAAAAGCAATGTGATTGCCAAGCGCTTGAGGCTTTTGGGTGTGAAAATCTTACATGAGCAAACAACTGGCAGGGCAGTTGCAATTTTGATCAGTGAGCTCACCACCATGCCAGAGTACAAGGTAATCCATCAAATGGTTGATGAGTTCAAGAGCATTTTCCACAAGAATGACACCAAAGCAGCACCCTTTTTTGTGAAGAAGTTCCCAGAGAAGCCTGAGCAGCTGACTGACATGCATCTTCAGCATGCATATGGGGATGCTGAAGGGGAGAACCAGCCTATTCAAGACCTCAATCCACAAATGCTTCAGCATTTGGTTGCCAAACATATTCCTTTGAGGAAGGACAACAAGCTGCTGAGGGATGCAGCTAAATCCAGTGCCACAGCTTCAAGCTCAAAAGATATTGCACCATCCCATGAAGCTGCAACACACTCTTTTGCAGCTGCTTCACAATTCAAGCAGATGGAGATGTTCTACAACTTCATGAAGATGATGGAGCAGCAACAACATGGGCAACAACAAGGCCAATGTAAGGTGAAAATCTCTCCTACCAAGAGAAAGGCATTGGCTGATGAGCCATCCTTTCAGCCAAAGAAGAGGCATGCACTGCCAATCATGGACAAAGCTGCAGAAGCTGAGGAAGAACCTGAAGCTGCAGAAGCTGCTCCAGCTGAAACAAATGAACAAGCTGCCACTTCAGCCAAAGCTTCTGTAGCTGCACCAGCATCTGAAGTTAGTGGAAGTGATATTGAGAACATGGCTTTTGAGAAATTGCGCTTGGCCAAGAACAAGACTGTGCCAATGAAGAAGCCTCAAGCTTCCCCTTCAGCTCTTGCCCAGAAAGCTTCCAAGTCTTCAGCCAAGGGCCCTGCAACTACATCCCCCAAGCTGATGAAGAAGCCAAGCTCCAATCCAATGCATGTGTGCGCAGGCATGACCAAGCTCTCAGACTACAAGATCACCAGCATTGACCCTGAGGACTTGCATAATGACTTCAACATTGTGGGCAGCAGGCATTGGAAAAGGGCCTTCAACTTAGCAACCAGGCTTGGGGAAAGCAAGGAGAAGGCCCAGAGCTTTGCTGAGAAAATGCGGCTGGAAGCTAAGAAGCTTTTCATGAAGGAAAAGCAAAAGATGCATTGAGCTACATAGCTATGTCTCCAGCATTAGCTCTTCAAGTGACCCATGGTGCTGTGGGAAAAAGATGTTTGCTTGCACTCACTGCCTTTGTTAGCCTGTTGAGGATTTATGATCATTGGCAACCTGCTCAAACAAACATCAAACATACTATATAGCCTAATGAAAAGCACATTACTTGCTCATATTGACTCATATGTATGAGAGTGGCTCAAATTTGCATTTGCAATACTTTTGTGTTTCACTTTGATTCCAATTCTTCATTTGCAAACACGCAATGGAAAAAGGAGAGTATGACACAAAGAGAAAGCCAGTTGAAAGCAAAAGCTCTAAGACTGAGCT